TCAGGTTCAGATCGGGGGGGCCGTTCCTCCCAATCACACCCCTCCAGGTGTCACTGTCGCTGCCCACGTGGGTGTTGAAGTCCCCCAGTAGAACAACGGAGTCCCCAGTCGGGGCCTTTTCCAGCACCCCTCCCAGGGACTCCAAGAAGGCCGGGTACTCTACACTGCCATTCGGCCCGTAGGCACAAACGGCAGTGAGAGACCTATCCCCGATCCGAAGGCACAGGGAAGCGACCCTCTTGTTCACCGGGGGTAAACTCCAACACATGGCAGCTAAGCTGGGGAGCAATCCTTTTTGCAACAGTGCTAAAGCTAAATTATTTATTGATTTTAGGCCTGTTGCAACGCACAAGACTCATTAGCTACAACCACTTTAGAGCTGTTTATCTGAAACAGTTCTCCTGGAGAAACAGATCTCCTGACCCCACTCCAGTAAAGGCTCATCCTTCATTAAATACTGTGTATATCTCTAGTGACACCACTGCTAATTGCAGAAAGAGGAAAAAAGAGGATGGATTAAGTAAAAACTGAGAATGAAGAACAGAGGGAGAGAGAATGAGTCATAAACATCACTGACTGCAGCTGCTGTGTGATTTTCCTGAATGTCCTCATCTGAACCTGGTGAGCAGTCAATTGTGTATTTAAAGGGATATAGTCACTTTACGGTTTCATGATCACAATGCTCACATGCCTATCAAAAAATCTTTGAAGAAATGAATAAAAGCTTTACTTGGTGGCTGCACTATTTTAGGATGAGAAACATGGATAAAGATTACTAACACAAAAAGTGGCAGCAGATTAAGTCTTCCATTTGCAGATAGTATTATCAGTGTTGGAGCCCTATGAAGACAGAGAGAGGGGACACATATCCTGAGCCTGGCATGCCAGTTCCAAATCTGTCTGGCCAAGTGGAATAATCCATGGCAACTACGGCTGCACACAGTCTGCCAGGACTAACACAGTCATACAGACTGACACTCAGACACGGAGTAGGCGTACATGTGCAGCCATATGCCCAAAATGGATGCATCAAGGTGCACACTGCTGATCAAAGTCTCAAAGTCTATGGAAAAAAGAAGAGTTTTTCTTTATTAAATCAAAGAATTAGATCAGACTTTGTTTTATTGCCAGATTCCTCCGAAACACCATGCCTATGAAGGTGTGGCGTTGGCAGTACAGTACCAGAACAGCAGCAGTTTCAGCGCTTTGTGTGTGCCCACACAGGACGGTACAGCATTGAGTTGTAGGTCACCCAAGTTTTAGCAGTGCTCAGGGGCCAATCACTGCAGTTATGTAAAAGAGAATGAATTGGCCTTGAAAAGCTTTAGTCCACATTTACTGCTGTACGTTGTAGGACAAGCAAAATGCAAGCCTCCACACAGCCTGTGTAGACAGCTGGACTGATTAAAATGGGAGAGTAGCTGTCAGACATGTGCGAGATGTATGACTTAAAAACTGCTGAAAGACGGTGCACATTTTAAATAAATGTAAAAAGTTAAACTCCTAGTTCTATGAAATAATAAACCATACATTAAGAATGAAATAATTTATTTTGTGTAAAAATGAGACACTCAGTGCTTTATTTAGCTAGCTTTGGCATTGTTCCCTATTTACTCCCTGCCGGGGACATCGCTGCTGCACAGTGGTTCTTCCCCACTGAGGCTAATCATGCCAAGTACTTCACAACACATTTGAAGAAATGAATGTAAATATCATTCTCCATGTGTGATATAAAATAAAACATTTGACCAATGTCATTTATAAAGCACCAGAAAAATGATTTGTCATTGTTTTTCATTTGTCTTTCATTAAAACAAACATCACAGTTATTCCCATTCACATGGCTTGATGACATGCTGTTCAAGATGTTTCGTTTCAAGCATAGTAGATCATTTAGATGTATGCATGGGATGTCAAAATGAAAAATGTAAAAATCAAAAA